CTTCGGTTAAAATAATGAAAATCAGAAATTGCAAAACAAATAATTCATGTACTGATTTGAAAAAAGTAACGCCTAATAAATTTTCTAAATAAAAAAATATCTTCTTGAATCTTGGGAAATAAGATAAAAGGCAACCAAAAATATAAACTGAAACAGCAAAAAAAAATAAATGCAGTAACTTCAATCATTTTGTTTATCTTTTTGGTCTTTAAAATATTGCCACAGCCCTCATACTAGGTCTGTCTGGGTTCTTCAAAAATACATTGAGAACTATCAGAAGACTAGTTGACCAGTGGATAGTTTAATAGTTGTATGCGACAAATAATTTGGAATTAAACTGTTTCACTGGTTTTCGGATAGTTTGCATCGAGTTTTAAAGAAACCTGAACAAACCTACATTATAATAGTTTTGAATTAAATTGTTGAAATATCTTTGATTCTGAAATTTTAACTGCAGTTTAAACGTTATATTAGGAATTACTTATAGGGCCTTTTTTAATTTACAAATTTTACTTTTCTGTTTTCTTTTAAAAAGCCTAAGTTTTTTCTTTCTAATAGATTAACTATTGACTAGAGTTTCATTAATTTTATTTAAAAATCCATTATCGAAACGGTGTTCCTTATGTAAGATTCAAATTCATTTGATGACTGACCGTCTTTTGAAATTTTGATCTTTATTATTAAAATGTAACACAGGTAATCTGGAGGTGTGATAACAACATTACTAAGTATTATTATCTTTGGTGAATCTGGTTTTGAGGGTGATAAAGGCAAAGCAAATCTTAGCAGTCTTAGTCTTGAACGATTTGTGTTTGTAATTGATTTCGTATCAAAATTATCTCATCATTCATGATTGGTTTCACGTAGAATGTTTAAAATGTGGCACTATTTTTTTCTTTGATTTGGAAATTATGCATTTATAATGTATTTTCCCTGGTAAAGGCTCGTTAAAGCATCAAAATACCTTTACTTAATTTTAAATAATCCTAAATAACTTATATTTAAAACTAAAATAAATAAAAATACTCTCACTCACATATTTTTGTCGGCAACCATAACCATATTGTTTTTTTGTTTACTTTTTGTTGACAGCGCGCGCGTCACCGTGGCAGCAGGCACACGGGGGAGCCAGCAGGCATGTAGCGGACAGGTTAACATTGTACAAATAACTAAGTGAAGGCATGATTTTTTAATTTAGTTTAATATATAAATTAAAATTGTTGAAATAATACTTTTTTGTGTTATGTTTATGCGAGATGTTATTAAATTATTCAGTGTGCTTTACATTTTAGTACAAACGGACTTCAGAGCACCCAAGGGCCGGGTGGTCTGCGCAGTAAACGGGTTGGCATATTTTACATATGATATAAACCCCCGTGATTGCCACTGTCTATTCGCGCACTGCCCACTGCGCTGGTCTGCCTTTTCCCGCTCGTCTATCCTGACACGCATGTGTATGGACTTTAAGAATATGTGGTGGGGAGCAGAGGCACACTGGTACAAACACGGGGGTCGGATTCCATGTAAATAGTTGGTAACAAGTTTGCTTGACCTCGACAGTAGCGCGCTAAGCGCTTACGGTTGAACTACACCTGTCAGTTTCAGTCGATAAAGTAGAACACTACTAATTAAAGCGATTTAAAAATTGGCGGGCTTGATAATTTAGATATTTGAAGCGATTTAAAGTAACATTTTCCTATTTTACAACTTTTACTTACAACTACTAAACACACAATAAGTTTAGTGAATTTTTGTTGTAGGTAAATGTTGAAAAATGGAAAATGTCACTTGTTTTAACTGAAAAATAAAATTATTTGAAAAATAAAACACATTTTTAAAAAGTTTAATTTATTTAGAATTACCATGTAATTACATGTGTCTCATTATCTTCTAACTGCATATTTTGAACATAACAAGCACTATATCACACACTAAATTACTGAAAAATAAAAATATATGATAACCAGCATAGCACATGACAATGTTTTTATTATTAAAAAAACCGTTTTTATAAAAAGTCAAAGTAGTTAATTTATAAACACAATTGTTTTAATGTTTTAAATTTCCCTTATTAATCCAAGGACAAATCATTCTAATTCTAATATTCTTATACTTATTGTCCCTTTAAGGCTTTTTCCATCTATTTCAATCTAGAATAGTTGTAATGCCTATTTCGGTTACAATAAGCCTCCAGCTTCAATACAGGTGGGCTTTGAAACTCACCCTAATTAAGAAACACATTTATGCACATTCCAAAAATCTCCATACCCGGGAATATCTAAAACAAAACAAAAATAAAGGTGCAGTGTGTATCTTAAAATTAAAAATAAACACGAGTCATAACCTTTTTAAATTCTTACATTTTTCTTGCAATAAAAGGTATTAAAATTTCAATAATAATAGAAAACATCTGATTTATGATCTTAATAGGTGAACTATGCAAAAATTAACAAGTTGACCTAAATAGCATATAAGTTTTTGAACATATTTGGGTATTATTTGATAAATATAATAATGAATATCACGCAAAAACTGAACAATAACTTTTTGAGCACAAATCATTCGCCTTTTTTCATCATGGTCTTTATGAGTAAAACTAAGATCAGGTTCTATCTCGGGTTCTACAATATTTGTTTGTAAATTGGCTTCACACATTTTGCTCACAACTACTTTCATTTTTTTGACCGCAAATGTTTAAAATGTGGATCCATTTATCTCTAGAGTAATAATAGCAGGAAAAACAAACTTTCTTGTTAGTTTTGTGAGAAAAATACTTAGGTACTTCTGCAATTAAAATTTAAATGAATCAGAAGTTAACGATTTTCTTAAGAACCTGCCTATAGTTAAATTAGTTAAATCTAACTTACACTTAATTAATACAATTTACTCACCTACATTTGAAAAAAATATCACCTGATTTGAAAATGAAAATAATATCAGGCTGACATATTTATTATTATTTATAGCAACATAACCTAATTTATTTTCAAAGCCAGATTTACACCACCTAATAATATTTAAATTTAGCTTTAACTTTAAATTTATTAACGATTATCCCTGTATTTGATCACACATTATAGCAAAGTGAAATTTAAAGGGGTAAATCAGTAAACTTATTGATTTCTTTGTCATTATTTTTGAAAACATATTTTTTTATGGGTGTAAACGGGTTTGAATTTAGTGATAGCAGCGCGCTAAGCGCTTACGGTTCAACTACCAACAAGGAAACAAATCCCGCCATTTATTCAAACCTTCTCTTTTTATTTTTCTATGGGTACACAGCTAACATGGATAGGGCCGGACATGCAGTAAATTATAAAGAGAGCTATAAAACGATGTGTACTTTAATCATAATTTAATAAAGTATAAAGATACCAATGGAAAGTGTGCGGTAACCTCAAGGTCATCGGTTTGTTATTGGGATTTCAGGGTGGTTACACAAAATACTCTTAATTCCTTTGTTTGTGGGACAGTAGAGCAAACGATCATTATGTAAGAAGAGACTGGCCTTATTTGGAATAAGCATATCCCGGGCAAAATGAACGTTAAATCCAAATAACACTCTACCCATTTTACACATCAAATTTAATGAAGGCGCTTGACAAAAACAGTGATGCTTTCCGGTATATTTGTTAGCACACAGATCTGTTAAATTATAAAAGATTCTCAGTTTGAAAGCTTCTTATCTGCTAATAAAAAATCTGCTTGAAAGTCATTGAAAATGGCCATAGAAGATTTTTTGGGAATTAAAAAGAGTCAACATTACAAAGAAATTATTACCGATTTATTGGAAAAATTTTAACAGATGGGGATAAACATGTCATTAATGATTCAGTTTTTGCACTGGCATCTAAGTTTCTCCCTAAAAACTTAGGAAGTATGAGTGACGAACAATGGGCACGTTTCCATTAAGATTTAAAGGTTTTTGAAGAACAACATCAAGGATTTCGAGATGAAAACATATAAGGGAATTACTGTTGGTCCATTATAAGAGAAATTGATTCAAAAAAATATAAAAAGAAACCAAAATTTAATTATTTTCTTTTTTTTTTAGTAATTACACCAAAATTATGTAATCCAGTTAAACCTAAATAAACAAATTACCAACTTTCAGCTGGGGTATGAAAACTAGTGAAATTATTTAACTACGAATGCATTGCGACTGATCGAATTCTAAAATATGATATTTAGGTTCGAAGCAGAGTTTATTTTATGTTAAACGGTCAGTTTTTTCACCTCAGAATAAAGTTGAAATTAACTCCTCGCGCGCAGTGTACTGGGGCCCGAGTTGAGTAAGTTTCTATTCTGTATGCAGAATCGGAACCTGCTAGACCCCTACCATCCACCCCCTTGCTTTTTCATCCGCTGCAAGGTCCTCAGGTGATAAAATTCTTCAGATTTTTATGTCATACTTTTTAATTGGCACGAAAGTTGACATATAATCATCATTTAGCAGATTCTTAGATAATCTTTTAAATCTGGCATCGTCTTTGTGTTTGACATTCGCGTGTACTGCGTCTAGTGTTTTGTGACTGTTCAAGATGAGCCCAGCTTGTCACCCTAAGTGGTACGAGCCGGATCAACGCAGTACAGTCGATCGTGTGTTTTTTGTTGGTCATCTGTTAAAGGAAAATAGAGTGTTAATAGCATACTCGCCTGTATTAGTCCATTATTTCTTTCATGATAGTTTGCCATGAGTTTTTAAATATTCTCGTGCTTTTTCGTCACCTTTTGGGTTTTGGTCGTAATCGGCTTTTTAGTCATATTCGGGTTATTAGTCATAATCGGGTTTTGAGGTTTTGTTGTCACAGCATAGCTCATTCCAGAGACAGTGTGAGCTATTCTGGTGATTCTTGGACATTCTCGGTAGTTTTCTGGGAGCGGTCCTTGGCAGTTTGGGCAAGTCGCTTTGATCTCCATTTGTCTTGTGCACTCTTTTGCTCGGTGGTCTTCTCCGCATCTTACACACCTGATGTGCATTCGGCAATTTGACTGGGCATCTATAGTACTGGGTAGGTCCTATTGGTACTCTTAATGGTTCTACTCAAACTACCAAGCCTTGGCATCTGTTGAAATCCTTGATAAGGTTTCTTTCTTGGGGTTTGATGTCTACGAGAAACATCAATAGTTTTCTTTTGTCTCTCCTTGAGATTATTCCTTGAACCAAAATCGGTGAGTTCTTCGAAGATTTCATTTACCGGAGTCTGTTCTGGTAAGCCTCGTTTAACCGCTTTATACGATTTGTCTTCTTCTAATTTATTACAGTAGAACTTGCTACCTATCGTATCTAGATAGGCAGTGGTTTACCTGTAGTCGTCTGAGGTTGTAAGCCATATTGTAACTTCGTCGTTTCTAAACAGTGCCTTTCCAGTTGTGATCTGCTTTTTTTTAGTGCAATTCTTACTTCCGTCCAACTCTTGGAGTCGAGTTGTATTGGTGAGATTTTATAGGTCTTCGTTTGGGTTGTTTGTTGGGGTTTATCAGGTTGATGTGTATTTTCGTCCGCTCTCTGGCATTGACCTCTGTCTCCTCCTGCGGTTTGCTATGAGAAGCTTCTTTCCTCTTCTGTTTGTTTAGCGTCTTTTGCTGCTTTTTGGACATGACTGATTCGAAGTAATTTTTGTCTTCGCATGTATTTATTTCTACTTCTTCCTCTTCTTTTATGTCCGCGCTTTCACGTGAAGTTTCGTTGATAGAAAAATCCACGGCTGCAGCCTCAGCTGCTTCTTGTTTTAGTCTTTGGTTCTCGCGTTGCAGATAGGTGTTGCGAGATTTCATTGTGTTGGTATCATATTTATGTTCGCTGTCTTCTGATTCTAGGGTTTTTAACAGATAGATATCTTTTGTTAATCGTCTGTTTTCCGAAATCATCTCGGTTAATCTTTTCTCTAGTCGTTTCATATCTTCTGCTAATGTTTTGACGCTTTTTTTCAATTGCCTAGGTGGTAGGCTTGGCGGTGGTGCCATCCTGAAAGAGATGTATTATTATTTAAATTCGAAGAATTCGGCTTTCGCCTTTCAGTCGATTGGATGTCGGTGGATATCACATGTAAATACTTCCATATTGGTAAATAAATAAATAAATTTAAATACCGCTACGGCATGTATGTCACTTTAGTTGCTTAGTTAAGTGTCCCCAATCTGCCTACTCCACTTTATAGATAGCTTTACTGCTTCTCTGCTTGACATTGAAGTTAACTACTGATTAAACTACAGGTTATAATTTGCTTATTTTCAAAGTAAACCTACTTACTTAGAAATAAAAGATTGACCCTATGGGTTTTTAGATGAAAAAGTATTTTGTAATAACATGCATTATTGCTTTTTCTCAGAAAATGAATCCTGTAGTAAAAAACAAAAAATCAAATTTTGCCTACAATTGTTATTTAGAGTATTGAAAATATTAAGAAAAAGTTGGTTTAAAAACTAGTTGAGCACAAGTATAAGTAGCTACCACCTTCAAGAAATTTTAAATTAATAATGTTTAGATAATTTAGATCTACCTCCGATGACGCAAAAACGAAAATTGAATCGATTCAGTAGGTTTTGAGAAATAAAAAATAATTAGTTTTTAAGCGGTCCCTTTGAAGCCCCATTTGACACCCTAAAAAATCGATTTCCTTAAAACAAAAAATGGGTATCTTAATTTTTAAACATCTTTCTATCCAGTATAATTAGTAAAATTGGCTGATCTTTTAGATTCACCTAAGTTTTTATTCTGTTTTCTTTTGCAGGTAATGGAATACTCATGTGCCGCAGTAATCACAAAATACTTAGACGAGGCCACTTAGAAAGAGTAAGTAGATCCTATGTTAACTATTTTAATTGAGCTAGAGACGTACGGACTCAGTTCGTAAATCAAGGAGTAAATAAATTAAATGCTGAATAGTGTTTCTTCTTCTTAAATATACTTATAAACTATATGATCAAATTTAACTTTGACTTGTTAAACAAGAAGTATAAAAGAAAATACAAAGGTAGATTATTTATATAAACATGTATCTTTAGAATACCCAATAGACGAGCATTTCTTTGTTTTAGATGTTGGAACTAAAGCTTGTAATGCTTTTAAACGGGAACACAATAACATGTTAAAATAGTAGCAGCTTCTTTCAAGAATTTAACTTAGTTTCTTTATTAATGTACGATGAAATGTTATATGTTTAACACGTGCTGTAAGTAGGCCATTAGGCACAAACTGGAAAGTTTCTGAAATCTCTTCTGTGTAAACTTTTCATTTCATGTGTAATGGACTTATAACTCGTGTCTAAAGAAATTATTGTTTTTATTTTTAAATTTATTATAAATAAATTTTGTGAGAGAAAGTTCGTCCTATAATTTTTGGAAAAGCGAGTTTTAATATTTACAGGAATGCAGTTAGATAAAATATATTACTTATTACTTGCTAAGTATAACAGCTCTATAAAGAACCAATAATATTTACATTTTGGCAGCAGTTGCCGTTCTCTCCCTGTTCTAAGTAAAGTTTTTATTGAATTTAGAGCCAATTTCTCTGCGTCTTGCTTTTAGGCTTTCGCTGTATTTTTCGTTTATCGAACTTTAAGTCTCATTTAAGTGGAGATTCATTGGTTATCGAATTCGGTTCTTTCATTATGAAGGCAGGACGATTTCATTAAATTTTTAATAAAAATCTTCATTATTGCTTGCAAATCAAATTGATTTTTTCTTCTATTGAATAGAGGTGCGATTTTGGGAAATTAATTTTTATAAAGAGCGTCATTAACAAAAATAATTTAAGAACTAAAATAAAATGTTCAAAAACTTCAAAATATTAGTAAATAATCCTATGTAAACATCTTGAACTAAGTTTTTTTCTTTATTTGACACTTTATGGTGCCTGCCTTTAAAACTAGTCTCGTGGACTAACCAATTATTTTGTTTTAAAACAATCTTCATTAGATTGTTCTGATTATATAAGTCACTCACGCATTGTACTCTGCTTACATACACAACACACTACAAGAGATCGAGGTATGTATTCTTAAATCTCAGGGATTAAAAATTTTGAGGGAAGAATAAACCAAAAATACAAATTTTGTGCGTTGCAAATAAAGAGGAAAAGCCGGTTTTCTACTCCCTCAAATTCAAGAAATGCTACCCAAATCTTGGTCCTCCTCAATCGTCGGACATAGTCCTGATTGTCCAGCAATTTAGGAGCTTCTGCATTGTTTGGTTTAGACTCTAGAGCTGTTCTGAAGAACGGTCTATCTGACCATTCTGGTAAATTAGCTGTCTTTAAGTTAAATAGTAAAGTTGAATCTATAAAAACTTTAGTGAAACGTATATTTAATAATAAGAATTACAATTTAATTTTACAGCACATTATGAATGAATCCTGGAATGGTATATATCAGATGTTTTTAGAGCGTTTTCTAAAACATAAGGGATGTATCATCCCTAATAAAAAATGTCTAAACTGCTTTTTAATGGTTTATTTCACGATCAAGTATTCTCAATTACAATGTTGCTGTGGTATTGCCACTGTCTATTAGCGTACTACCCACTGCGCTGGTCTGTCTTCTCCCGCTCGTCCATCCTGACACGCATGTGTATGGACTTCAAGAATGTATGGTGGGGAGTATAGAGAAATACCGCTAACACGGCCATATAAACTTTAATTACTATTTATGAACAAAAACAAATACTTTCAACAAGAATATTTATTTATCGTAAAACATGGGTACAATAATCACGACGGTAAGGCGACCACTGACTTCCGTCCAACGTGGTAAAATATTTTAAAAGCGTTAGTTTGATCTTCAAAACCTTTTTTTTTAATAGCACAATAGGACTTTTATATTTTATAATACAATAGGAATACTCTCCCTAATTCACCCCTTGTACTTACGAGTGAATTTCAATCTGCAAAGTTGACTGAGCTTGTGTGTGGAAAGAACGGCTATCATTTTATTTATAGTGACGCTCCGGGACGACTTAAAGATATGACTGCCATTTGACTTACAGATGGGGAAAATCCAGAAAACCTTACCCACCTTCATATTAAGTGACTTCTGCGGATAATGTCACTGTTTATAATTTTCTTCTGCTGAATTTTGTCTTGATACGCTAATCGCCTTCGTCAATACGCTACTGGAGTACTGCATTGTAATCTAAATTGACATTTTTCCGATAGTTATGTGGTCAGGAGATTTATTCTTGTAAAATATTAAAAGATTCTTCACTTGTATTTTAAAAGTGTCTATTAATTCTAATCGAATAATTTTCATATCGTTCAATTTTTTATTGTAAACACTTGGAATGTTGAGCAGGTTTTGATGTAACTTAATCGTGTTGACATTTTTCTCAACACCTAAACAAGGTCGACATATGACATTCCATCCAATAACAATATCAGCATATTCAGAACTCACATTATTGGGAACGACGTCTAACGTAATAGTCGGCAAAATCACCAAGATCGATATTCTAAACATCTTTTGATTTCCAAGTCTCAACAACCCCACTCGACCATTCACTGTTGGGTTCTAATTAACAGTGCTGTTCCTAAAGTGGCGCTGGGAAACAGTAACAAAGCCTACACAGAACACACATGATTGAGAATTTAAACACAAAATTTGAAACTGGCATATTAGGTATATACACCTAGGCCATAAATCGAAAAAAAAAAAAAAAAAAAAAAAAAAAGTCTCAACAAAAACACATGTATCAGCTGGCATAATCGTTCCTTTTAATGTTTTCAATACGGAATGTTTAATTATTGAACTGTCAACATCACTATCAATAATGTATTCTAATGACTGAGTTTGTTCACAGTATAATAACATGGCTATCGGTGTCGAATTTATATGGCGTCACTTTTTTTAACACAAATGCTTTTTTTAGGCTTTCTTTGTTTATAACAATAATAACTGGATTCGACGTGACCCATTTTTATTACAATGAGTGCACTAATACATAGGATTTTTATGTGTATTAACCGCGTTATATATACTCGCCTGTTTTGTACTCGGACATGAATTTTATTGGTGCCTCTGGCGGCGGCTTTTCGTCTAGCTTTAAACGGAATTCTTGGTTTTCTAATTTTCTCTGCATTTTTCGTCATTCTCGGGGACTCAAGTCAACACGGATCGCATCAAATTCGGCAAGTAATTTTATGAGCTCACCACTCACGTTCGGAATTTGGCTTTTGAATTGTCTAAACCGGAACTGAATGCCACAGCAAAGCTTTATTAAAATTTAGTGATGATCCACAATTTTTTTATTTTCACAATTACACACCGTGAGTTACAATCATGGCATTGAAGCGTAGCCTTGTATTTACGAGCAGCTGGTATTTTCTTGTCAGCGAATACAACAATTAGGTCATCACAAAGTCTTGCCACGTTTGAGAAAGAAGTCGCCAGTCATAACAATAACAATAACCGTGATTCTTAGATGCTTTGCTCAATTTAGCGACCATGAAGTTATCTCTATCGCTGAGTTCGTTTTTTTATTTTGGTTAGCCTCACTTAAGCCATTGGTTTATGGAATATGCGCTATCGTCAGGGTCATAGCTGGTAAGTCGAAAATAGTGCACAGGCGCGAATGCTGGCGCTTGCGTGTTAGATTAATCTGCTTTTCCAACTCTGGGCGTTGGCTTGGCGAACGGTTACGTAGCCATCTTGGAATGTTGAGATACATCAGCTTTTATTACTCTTGGGCTGCTACAAAGTTTATTAATGTTTCCTACCACTGAAATTTAGCATGCTTTGAACTACGTCCGTTCACATTGTCTTTAGCATCGACCGACATTGTGTTCTGCTGACGCACTGTTACGAGGTTCAACATTTTCGTCCGCCATTGTCACTAGCACTAACTTCTACTTAAATTACTAATTATAGTCTATTAGCCGCGGTACGCGTAGTGATCCCACTTCTGATATAAACATAAGGGATGTATCATCCCTAATAAAAAATGTCTAAACTGCTTTTTAATGGTTTATTTCAC